CGGAGCCTTGCCTTGCGATTTCTGACCTCTTTCATCTTTGGTTTTACTCCAGATTTTGGTGTTCTTCGGCTTCTGTTGATTCTCGATATCGAGTTTGCCGCTGGCAATGGACGGGAGGAACTTCTCGTACAGGACTTTGCATTCCCTAGTGTCGGCCTTATCGGCTTTTTCGGTTTCGGCAGGGGCAGAGCGCGCTGGCTCTGGGGTAGCTTGAGTTTTGCTCTCTTCGGAACCAGGTTGAAGTTTGTAGGAGTTCCATCCTTTCCCTCGGATCTCTACGAACGAACCATCCGACGGATTTACAAGGTAAACAAAGCTTTTTCGGGTTGGTTTTGTCCGCAGGGGCATGTTGTCGGGGTTTGTCTCGCGTTTCAGGCGCTTTGGCCGCTGATGTCCCTCCCGGTTTTGCTGCGTTCTGCTTTCTTATAATCGCTTTGGTGTCTTCCTCAATACGGATGAAGGTGTGCGATCGGGCAATGGCATCGGCAACGGACATCGTTGGGTGGTTGTAAAGGTCATCACGGAACTTCGAGCCCACGTAAAGAGTGTTCATGAGGGCGTTTACAGCAATTGCATCGGGGAATTGCACTTTTGCTACGATTTCCTTGAACTTCTCCATGAAACTTCGGAAGCTTTGTCCTGGTAACTGAGAGAGGTGCCAGAGGTCGGAGGCTGTGGCTTATTCTCGAAAGAACATGATGTAATATTTGAGGAAAACTGACGACAAGTCGTGGAAACTGTCAATAGAGTTTTCGGGTAAGCTAGTGAACCAGTTGAGTGCTACACCCTTAAGAGTTTCGACGAAGAGCTGACAGAACCCTGCGTCTCGCTTCTCTGGTGCAAAGTTCTGGCATCGCATCGCGATCTTAAAGGATGTAATATGAGTGGTCGGATCTGAAAGACTGTCATATGTTGGCAAGCGGAGCTTCTACATTGGCTTGAGCCGGATGTCTATGATCTTGCTAGTGAACGGTGTTCAGAGAGTGTCCACGAGGACGCTTTCGATGAGTGAAGCGGAAGTCGTGACTTAGTGAAGCTTTTAATTTATTTCGAGGAGGGCTTTCTTGAGAGCAGCGATTTCCTGGATAGTTTGTAGATCTGGGCGGTTTCCCGGTTGTGCAGAGTCGTCCGGGACTCCGGTTGGCACGATGGGCTGGTTAGCCGGAGTAGGGGTGGAGTTTGTGTTGAACAGAAACTGTCGAGCCGTTGAGAGGTTTCCTCCGGTGCCGTCTGGGTTTGCGAGTATGGCGGTGATAGCCGCGAGGTGCTCGTTTGTCGCCTTCTAAGCTTCGTCTTGGTGAGTTAAGCGCTCCATGATGGAATCGACGAGGGTCAGATCGAGTGGTGCGGCGGTATCCGGAGTAGGTGCTACCGTGTCGGCTTCCACATCGGAAATTAACTTGTTAATCGGACTCATAGCTTCGTTGCCGCTACTTTGCTATGCCCTATGGGGGCACCAACTGTTCGAACCGAGTATGGTCTTTTATCAGTGACAAGGGTGACGGAACTCGTCGGTGGGTTATGACAAAGGCGGTTATGCTATAAGTGGTGAAAGAGTAGCTTTATTAACGAAAGAGTTCAGTTTACAAATAAGGAAACAAGAGGCGAGGCGGCGTTGCTCAGAGAGCTTAGCCGTGCCCCCGTACAAGTCGAAAGAAATTACAAGAGTGAAAAACCTAATTCTAGCCTCCTTGTGAGTGGAAAATGATTTCGGATCCCCTTCTTGTTCCCTTCTCTCCTCCTTTTATAGCAGCATTCCCCTGACCTTGCGAGCTGGTCGCGTGTACGGAGGGCTTTTCGCCAGATAGGCCTTGGTTGGCCCGCTAAGGTAAGTACCTTAGCTAAGTGTAGTTAACTCGGTTAATTCCGAGGATTATTCGAGTTAAGCTAAACTTGTTTGCAAATCGACGATGCGTTATCTCGTTGGGCTGGGGCCCGCATGGGTCGAGTCTATTGTTCAGTGGGCCTTATGAAGGGGAGTATTTCACCACCTACAATCATCATCATCTTCAAAACATTCATCAACTTCATCATCTTCTTCCCTTTCCTCTAAAACCGTTTCCACCTTCCTACGGCTTGATATAGAAAGCCGTAGTCCATGCATTTTGTTATCTCGAGCAAGTTTCGAACTTGTCTATCACTTGTAATATGAATAGGAGGGGTGTCTGGAGCCATTTTTTGCATCATTATGTTGGTAATGAGTAGGTAATCTCCACAGATTATGTGCTTATGTACAGGTTATCATCTTCTTGAGCCAGTGCAACAAGTTCAGCATGTGTCAAACCTTCACTAAAAAAAAACATTTTCGCTCCTTTGAAATTAGCAACCACAAAATCCAAACAGCAAGCTTTCAACAACCATTCTCCATACACTGCATGTAACTAATCATCTGCAAAAATTCAAAATAAAACACATTAGTAAACATAGAGAAAATGAAAGCTTACTAAATATTTACGCTGACAACATACCAGTAAGTCGTCTCGAAGACATACCAATAAGTCGCCCAAACATGTCATTTATGCAATTGAATTTTAAATGTGACGACTTACTTGTAAGTCATCCAGTTTTGTTTGTTAAAAAAAAATTCTAGACAACTTACCAATAAGTCGTCTAGGATAAACGGGTTAGTTTTGATTGGACTAAATTGTGTCAGATATTTGACTTTTCTTGAACGACTTACTAATAAGTCGTCTCTGGTTAGTTTGCAATTTGAAAATAAAACTTAAATATTTAACTTTTTCCAGACGACTTACTTGAAAGTGGTCTAGTTAGATGACTTACGAGAAAGTCGTCCAAGATTAGTAAGGTTTGATCAAATCTCGGAAAAAAATCTTAACGGCTTTGCTTATCCTGGACGACTTTCAAGTAAGTCGGACAACTTTCAAGTAAGTCGTTTGACTGCACGACTTCAGTGTAAGTCTTTTGGGAAAAGTTAAATATTTAAGTTTATTTTCGAATTGCAAAACTAATATGAGACAGACTTACAGATAAGTCGTCTAGCTTTAATAAAATATTGAAATTTTTGTTTTGCTAGAGACGACTTACTAGAGACGACTTATTGGTAAGTCGTCCAGAAAAAGTCAAATATTTGACACAATTCGATCAAATGCAAAATTAACCCGTTTATCCTAGACGACTTATTGTAGGTCGTCTAGGGTATTCTCTAGATTTTTTTTTTAACAAACAAAGATGACGACTTACAAGTAAGTCGTATGTTTGACCAGAAGACTTACTCGTAAGTTTTCTTTAGCCATATGACTTACGGGTAAGTCTTCTATGCGAACATATTTGGAAAAAAAAATTCAATTTCATACCTTAAATTAGTGAGATGATTTCCTTAGCACACATAGTCTTCTCTAACCACCCAGAACCTCAAACGAAAGTAACCCACCAAGAATAGTATAGTTGAATGGCTCTATCAACCATAAAATAATTTGAATCAAAAGCTTGGGTTTTTTGGATGAATATGGAGACAAAGTGAAAGAGATGTTGTTTTTAGTTCATAACAATTGATAAAGAGAGAGTGTAAATTGACTTTAGGTGCATTAAGAGTTTCAAATTGATTGTTTATGGTGGTTAGGGTATTGATTGCAATGACAATCTTGTAAATACTTGAAGATAAAGAGGTTGAGAGATTTTTGAAAAAAGGTTAATGGTATTTTTGTAAATAATGTGAACATGTAGGGTGAATATGACAAAAGAAAAATGAAAAAAAAAATTAGTTTTGTGTTTAACAAGGTTGAGTTTTGAGTCAAATTTGCAAAAATTCCAAATAAAAAAGTAAAAATAAACTTAAATGTTTTGTATTAAAGAAGTAAATATACACTTATACTATTTGGTTAAGTAATCCTAGATTTTTTTTTTTTTTTTGTTTATAATTGAGAATTGAGATGTTGGGATAACATTTTAAATTTTAATAAATTTTTGAGTTCTATTTAAAAACTTAAAAAAATTCTATTTGATAGACTCTGAATCGAGGGAGATTGGTTATTTAAATGTACATTGTTGGTTTAGTAAACGTTTATATACCCGGTTTGTTCCGGTTTAGTCATCAGGTCAATTGTATATAAACACATTACAGCTCATTTAATAAAGCTAACAGAAATTCCTCTTGAGCTCAACAATGGTGGAAAGGGACTCGAGAGAGAAGACGAAAATAGAATCTTTCTGTTAGCTTTATTAAATGAGCTGTAATGTGTTTATATACAACTAGGTGTTATGCCCGCCTTGCGGGCATAATCTTCTTACGGATATAACTCAACATAATAAATTATTATTTATGTTTTCTCAAAAAAATACTATTTATGTTCTCAAAAAGTTTAAATAAATTATTTATATACGCTATTTTTTTAAATCAAAGTATATATTATGCCCACATATTTTGGGTTGAAATTTGAACTAAAAACCCACATATAAGAAATATTTGAGAAAATATCATTATACAAATGTAATTGCTATTTAATTTTAAATTGTTTTACATTTATATTTTATTTTTGTAATAAAATAATATTATTTTCAGATAACAACACAATATCTATAAAACTTATCTTATTTTTGTAATATTTATTTATTTTGACAATTATCATGTTAATTTTTAATCAATTCTTTAATTTTTGTAATAGAAAAAAATTATTTCAAGATAACAACACCATATCTATAAAAATGATCTTATTTTTGTAATGTGTATTTATTTTGACAATTATCATATTGATTTATAATCAATAATCTAATATAACATATAAATCTAATATTATTATTATAAATTCGTTTTTAATTTTATAAAATTCATTAAGGGTATAATCGATATTAACCACTCTAACTTTTAACTTTTAACGTGGAAGTTCCATTGTGAAAAATCACTTCGCAAATAATAGTATAGATTTGACATGATGACTAAACCGGAACAAACCGGGTATATAAACGTTTACTAAACCAACAATGTACATTTAAATAACCAATAAAAGCCCATTCGGGTTAATTTTGGCAGCTTCGCCATTCTCACACACTCCAACTCTTTCTCTCTCCTCTTCTCTGGAGTCGCGTTTCTTCAGCTTGACTTTGGTCACTTTCTCGGATGGTTGGTGATCAAGAACCAAGCCGAACTTGCGTAGAATCTGTTTGTTCTGACTCCCAGATCCGAGTCTTCTTCCGGCTCTTAGGTCTTCCCGCTTGCTTCTACCTCGGTTTAAGCTACACGAGTACTGATTGCTGATTTGCTAGGGTTTTTAATTTTTTTTTTGTTCTGTAACTCTTCTCTAGATATTGACTCTTTTGCCTGATATTCATGGCAGGTTTGTGTTCTTTGCTGTGATGGAGCAATTGCTCCATTAATGGACTGCTGCTTTCCTACGGATCACGATTTGCGATTTCCTACTTACATTGTTCATCCTTTTCAAGTCTCGTAGATTACGAGACTCTTTCTTTTCTTTTCTCGTTCGTCATTCCCAAGTCTCGTAGATTACGAGACTCTTTCTTTTCTTTTCTTTGCTTGAGCTAATAACGTTGGGTTAAAAAAAAAAAAAGGGCTTGATGGGTGGGCTTTGCTCTAGGAGTTCCTCTGTAAATAACGCTCCTGCTGGAGCCTTTCCACATGCTAATGGTCATCTCAACAATGGCTCTGCTGTGAACGGTGAACTCAGAAACAAAGATGCCGATCCTTCTCCGGTGAGGGAGACTGTTGTTGACAATGACAAGCCCTCATCGGATTCATTCTCGTTTCCCACTCTGAACATAGCTTCTGTTGGAACTCATCCTCAAAATATTGAGGACGGTATTCCCCGTTTATCAAGGGACTTATCTCACAAATCAAGATCCACTAAGTCTAGGCAAGCTGCCGTGGCAAAGGTAAAAAAAAAAATGTTAGCGTTATCTCTTTTATGGACTTGACTTGACTTGACTTGACTTGAGGTGTTTCTGTTTCTAGGTTTCGGAAGTAAGCTCACTGCTAGGCAGGGCTGGCACTATGGGACTTGGTAAAGCTGTGGATGTATTGGACACACTTGGTAGTAGCATGACCAACCTGAATTTAAATGCGGGATTTTCTTCTGCCACCACGATAAAAGGGAATAAGATCTCAATCTTGTCCTTCGAAGTTGCTAACACCATTGTTAAAGGCGCCAATCTTATTCATTCTTTGTCAAAAGATAGCATCACACATCTGAAAGAGGATGTGTTACCTTCAGAAGGTGTACAAAACCTAATATCAAAGGATATGGATGAACTCATGAGGATTGCTGCTGCAGATAAAAGGTAACACTACTATTTGACTATATCCTCTGTTGTTTCTGTATGCACTTTACACTCTTTTTTACTGTTCTGTGTTTATGGCTTGGAGATAAGAAAAGTTATGTATCATGAACAGGGAAGAGTTGAAGATTTTTTCTGGAGAGGTGGTGCGTTTTGGGAATCGTTGCAAGGACCCTCAGTACCACAACCTCGATCGCTTCTTTGACAGGTTCCAACATGATCCTCTCGCTTTGGTCACACAATGGATCTATTCTTCTTTTTCTTTCGGAAAGTATCTGACTTTTCATTAGTTCTGTGTTATAATTTAGGTTGGGCTCCGAATTTACGCCCCAGAAACAGTTGAAACAGGAAGCAGAAACCATAATGCACCAGCTGATGACATTTGTTCATTTCACAGCTGTGCGTATTTTTCATTCAAATTCGTCCTGCTTGACTGTCTGGATGGCAATTTACTCTCTCTTTTCTTTATCTGCTATGTTTTCAGGACTTGTATCATGAACTCCATGCGCTGGATAGGTTTGAACAAGACTACCAACGTAAGATCCAGGAAGAAGAGAATCCAAGCACAGTACAACGAGGTATTTATATATCTTTGGAAATGAATGATATTGTATTACGTTCTCTATTTTTGTTTGGTAATTTCTGTTCCATTTGTGTTATTTCTATATAAGGTGTGGGAGATACCCTCGCTATCTTGAGAACTGAATTAAAGACTCAGAAGAAGCATGTAAAAAACTTAAAGAAAAAATCTCTTTGGTCTAGGATCTTAGAAGAGGTAAGGACTGCAAACTGGTAAACAAATTACATGTACTTTTTGAGAAGTTTCTCGGCTCATTTTTAATTATGGAACATACTATTAATTCTTAGGTGATGGAGAAACTAGTAGACGTTGTCCATTTCTTGCATTTGGAGATTCATGAAGCCTTTGGTGGTGCAGGTGATGCTTGATTATAGGGATAAAGCATTTATTCGTATTACAGCTTCTGAAAGATTTGAGATTTTAGTTTCTTTATTCTTCATCTAATATGAAATACCCATGCATGATCCTTCTACCTGATATTGCAGATTCCGATATGCCTGGAAGTGACCCACCAATCAATCATAAAAATTTGGGCTCTGCTGGTCTTGCCTTGCATTACGCAAACATCATAACTCAAATTGACACTCTTGTAAGTTATCATTCTTATTATCACCAGTTGTCTAGTTGCCTGGGATTGTGAATCGTCTGTTTCTTGTATCGAATCTTTCTTGTATCGAATCGTTACCCGAATGATCTACAACCAAGCATTAGCAATATCAGAATGATTGGACCCATATCGACACCGGTTTGTGGAATTCGTTTCAAAGTAAGTTATTTTTCATTTCTGTGATTAGGTGTCCCGGTCTAGCACTATGCCTTCGAGCACAAGAGATGCTCTGTATCAAAGTTTACCCCCAAGTATAAAATCTGCTTTACGCTCCAGAATACTGTCTTTCCAGGTTAAGGAAGAGGTATTACTGTACTCTTTCACACCGCCAACAAAATGCTTTAAATGTTATTTGTATGCCTGCTCACCAGCCACCACACGGTATCTTATTTGTTGTAAACCAGCTTACTGTTCCTCAAATAAAAGCCGAAATGGAAAAAACGTTGCAGTGGCTTGTTCCTGTTGCTACAAACACAACCAAGTAAGCTGCTGCGCTATTTTCTTTCACATTATCTGCGGGCTTGCTTTCATCATTAGAACTCCGTATCTGTCTTGATTAAGTAAAGTGTGTTACACGAAACCAACCTCCCTTGGTTTCAATAATTAAAGTAAGCCAGACTTACTCTTCTGTCTTTTGTTTTCTCAACCAGAGCGCATCACGGGTTTGGATGGGTTGGAGAATGGGCAAGTTCAGGGTAAGCCCTGAGAACAAGTTTGATTATTAGGCTATTCTCTGTCTGTGCTATATATGTACATTGTTGTTGCTTGCTGAATGATAGATTATGGAAAACAATTTCAGGTCGGAGGCGAACCAGAGACCAGCAGGTCAGACCATACTAAGGATAGATACGCTTCACCATGCAGATAAAGAAAAAACTGAGGCTTACATATTAGACCTAGTTGTATGGCTTCATCATCTCGTTACCCAAGTCAGGGCAACTACTGGGTTTGGCCTAAGATCTCCGGTAAAGTCTCCAATCAGATCACCTAACCAGAAAGCGATCCAGCTCTCGAGCGGTTCACACAACAACCCAAGTATGGGATCTCCGTTGCTGACAATGGAGGATCAGGAGATGCTAAGAGACGTGAGCAAGAGAAGAAAAACGCCAGGAATCAGCAAGAGCCAAGAGTTTCAAACGGTGGCTAAAACAAGGCTATGCAAGCACCACAGGCTGAGCAAAAGCAGTAGCCACTCGCCGATGATGGGGGAGATGATGAAAAGTAAGAAGGATGCTTTCGCAATGAGAAGACCTTCTGTACCCATAATTGATTTTGAGATTGATCGCATGAAAGCCCTGGATGTGATTGATCGTGTGGACACCATTAGGAGCTTGTAGCTAAAAATGAATTGGATAAACAAGCATCCTCTATTATCCCCGCATGGAGAAGCCCTTAATAGGTGATGATCAGAAATGGGGTTAGTAAATTTGTACTACTACTACTACAACTACATTTTGGTTTTTGGTTGTGTGGGTGTAATTTGGCTTTGGTTCCTTTGTATTGGCTCTATTTTCTTGTTGTATTGTGTACATACAATAAAATAATAATAATGATATGAAGTATGTTTTCTCACTCTATATTAGTGAATGCTCTTTTTCCTTTATATTGTATAAGTAGGTTCAGAAATGCATATTTCGTTTTATAAAGTATGAGTGGTGGTAGATAAGATTCACACTTCTCTGCAACTACTTTTTTTTTGGAAAAGTGAGAGCTATTCAAAACCATTGTTCACACACGTTTTTTTCTTTAATTCGCAGCAGGTTACCAAAGAGGGCGTTAGCCAAACGTGAAGAACAAAATAAAAGGTTGCGAGGAAATAAAAGGTTGCGAGGAAAAGATTTGAAAATTTTGCATTTCAATTGTTGAAATTGTCGCTACTAGAAAAAGAAAGGTTGACACGTGACAAGCGAAAGCGTCGGCGTGTAAAAAGAATTTCATTAACAAAAAAAAGAATTAAATAATGTTAGTCCGGTGATAACACCCGCCAGTTTGTTGTTCTTGGACGCCTCTCTAATTAATTAGGATATTCTCTCTCGGGAAGCAAAATCAATGGAAGATCCGATCACTTCTCCATACGATATTCTCTTTGAAGCTCTCACGCTCATCCCTATTCGTCACTACCTCTACGCTCTCTTCCTCATCTGGACCGTATTCGTCTACAATTTCGTCGAGTTCCATTTCCTTGGTGATGCGGTTCTTCAGTATTTTAGATGTCGAGTGAATCTCATCTACAACCCACATTCTCCTATTTACCACGGTGTTGCCTCTCGCTGCCGGACTCTTCACGGCCGGTGAGTACCAATTAATTTGAATTTTTCTTCTTTTTATTAAAAAAAAAAACAAAAATTTGATTTCTGGTTTCTCGTATGGTTAAAGATATGTGGCGACGCCATGGTTAGCGACCCCTCATCTTCAGACTTGTTTCCTTAATTTCCATGGATTGCCTCCCGTTTTCACATACACCAGGTGATTTCGATTTTTTTTTTTTTTTTTTTTTTTTTTTTAAG